AAAATCTCCCAGCCTGCCAGGAGCTCACCTATAGTGAATATTCATTATACGCCATAGGAACTTTTGGCTTTAATCAGGTGCTGAGCCAGACCCACTGTTACATCTCACCAGAGTATCATGGCCATTATTGCTTCACTGTATGTGTGTCAGTGCCTGGCAGACTTTTATAAAGGTGGGAGACAATATTCTTCTTTAGCTTTATCAAATTCGGTATCTTTCCTCCCATTTTAAGCCTTTTGCAGTTTCAAATGGTGCAGATAGAGAGCCCTGAAAATGTATACTTGTACGTTTTTAAATGTCCCCTACTTTGCTGTAACCACCCCCTGTTTTCCAAATGCTGCCATTAGTGGTTACAGTAATCATCCGTAATGTTAGCTTCTCAGAACCATGGTACAGGAGCTTCTTTTCTAATTTCCCAGATGGGAGGGAACACATGTACATGCTTGTTAGAGTTGCAGAAACTGGAAACAGCACTGTGTGGATTTGTATTTTTGGAATTCTATGGGCTTGTTTAAGCACTCAAATTCAAACTTAGATATCCATTAGGAATCAAATACCATTTCAGGGAAATCTCATGTGCCATACCAACAGGAATAAAACATATAAAACGAACTCCTGGAAATAACTAGTTTCATATTCAGACTCATGTTTTATGTACTTTTTTCAGGATGCCAGATGATAAATGTTGATTATATAAACCAGGGTCATTCTGTTTGTTTGGAAGATTGTCTCTAAGCATTTCCGCTCTTTATTGAAATAGTAGTGAAATTGAAAGTTTAAAAGTCAGAAAGGGAAATAATTATAAATTATCCGTAGGCATATGGAATAAAGCCCCCAATTAAAAAGGATTTTGGTGGCCCCTGGTTCTTTGCAGTGTGTTTTTTGCAAGGTTATGTGATTCGTGATCATAGCCTCTAGCCTTGACCTTACATAAGAAATCTTAGTTATTGGGGAAAGTTTTCTGAAAGTAAATGTTATTTCTCTTTTAATTGTCTTTTTTGACCAATCTGACTCACATAGGGCTACTTCTACACTTAGATCATAAAATGAATTCGTTCCTATGAATGTCTTCAAGCTCAGCTTTAGCCTTAGTTTTAGATGTTTGATGAGTTTTAAAGTCATATTATACAATTGAGTAGTTTCTGTTTGTTGCAGACCTTAAGTATTTTTTACAATTTTCTTTTTTTTTTCTTTTTTTTTTTTTTTGAGATGGAGTCTTGCTCTATCACACAGGCCGGAGTGCAGTGGCACGATCTCGGCTCACTGCAAGCTCCGCCTCCCGGGTTCACGCCATTCTCCTGCCTCAGTCTCCCAAGTAGCTAGGACTACAGGCACGTGCCACCATGCCTGGCTAATTTTTTGTATTTTTAGTAGAGACGGGGTTTCACCGTGTTAGCCAGGATGGTCTCGATCTCCTGACCTCGTGATCCACCTGCCTCGGCCTCCCAAAGTGCTGGGATTACAGGCGTGAGCCACCGTGCCTGGCCGTATTTTTTACAATTTTCATTCTCATTTTACAGAAAGGAAAGTTCAAAGTTGAATACTCTATCATCTATAAAAGAGCAAGAAGTGATCAGAAAGCTCAGACTTCTGACCTGGGCTCTCCTTTTAAAGTCACTAGTTCTGGAGGACTTGGTGTATTAACAAGGCCAGGAGCAGGGAGCCAGCATTTAGTTTCTAGGCATCATTGGTGACAAAAATTTGTAAAGTAGGTTCCTGGAAAATCTCTAGATATAGAGAATAAAAGTTAGGGATGAACATTCATTTGTTCACTGATTTATTCATTCAGCTAACATTGAGTGGTTTCCGTACGCCAGATACTGTGCTAAGATCCTGCTCTTACCCACTCATCCCCCTCCTCACCCTCCTCACCCAATTAGAAACAGAACAGGACAAAACAAAACTATACTTCTTATATCATGCCACCTAAAAATATATTCCAGAGGTATTGCAAATCTACAATGTAAAACTAAAATTGTAACAATATAAGATTAAAAACTAGAGAAGTAGTTACAGAACCTCAGAGTTATTGAACAGATTTAACTCTGCAAAAATCTAAATTTTCTGTGATGGCAGAAGAGCCCTCAAATGAAGTAAAAACTCAAAAAGAGAAAATAGTTTTAGCACATGTGACAGAAAAAGGTTAAGAAATCCAATGAACAACAATAACAAAGACTAAGAACCTGAAAGCAAGATGGATAATGGATTTGACTAGGAAATTTACAAAAGAAATGTAGATGATCAATAAATAAGTAAAAAGTTGCTCAGCCTCATTCATTGAATCTAAGTGGAGATACCGTTTTCCAGATGTTAAAAACAGTGGTAACAGCCAGTGTTATCCAGTGATTCAAGATGAGGGGAAGCAGTCTTATACAAACTCACAGGTCCAAATGTGAATTGTTGCAATTTTTTAAAATTTTTTAATTTGTATGTATTTATTTTTTTTTGAGACAGAGTCTCACTCAGCCAGGCTGGAGTGCAGTGGCACCATCTTGGCTCACTGCAGCTGCCTCCCAGGCTCAAGCAATTCTCCTGCCTCAGCCTCCCGAGTAGCTGGGATTACAGGCGTGCACCACCACACCTGGCTAATTTTTGTGTTTTTAGTAGAGACAGGGTTTACCATGTTGGCCAGGCTGGTCTCGAACCCCTGACCTCAGGTACTCCACCCACCTCGGCCTCCCAAAGTGCTGGGATTACAGGCATGAGCCACCGCGCCCAGCCTGTTGCAAAAGTTTTAGAAAATAATCTATCAAATTCTTTAGAAATGTAAAATGTTCATAATGTTTGACCCAACAAGCTCAGTTTTAGTTCTCTATTTAAAAATACAAGTCCCACTACTAACAGATGTGCACACACACATGTACACACGCTGACACACACATACACACACAAAAGAATATTTATTGCAGCACTATCAAGTGGCCAAGAATTGTGAACAACCTGAAGTTTGTTGCTAAGGAAATGGTTTAATAAAAAATAAATCCATGCCATGAAATATTATGTGGCTATTTAAAAAGCAGTTGGTGGAGCAGTATGATTCCATTAGGGAAAACAAAACAGGAGGTTAAAGAGCTGTTTATATGCAAATGTGTCATGTATATGTTTTTATGAGCATAAAGAAAGTAGTTTGAAGCTACCTACACATTGGTTAATATTGGTTACTTTGAAAAATGGGGGGCAAGGGAGGAGTGGAAGAGCTTTTTCTTTATAAACTTCTGTATGGTTTGACTTGGTAAGACAAGCCTAAATTTTGTAATCTAAAATTTTTGTAAAAAGAAAGAAAATGGAAAGGGAAGTGGCCAAAGAGATAGGAAAAGAACAGCAAGAAAAGAGAGTTTGGAGAGGCAAGTGGTTACCCATGTCAAATATTGTTTAGACATCAAGTAAGAAAAGGACAGAGAAGCATTTGGTGCATTTAGTGGTTACCCTTGGTGGGAACGGTCTTCATTGAACTTGTGGGTCAGTAGTAGGCTATTGTTGTGGGCTAAGGGATAAGTGGAAGGGAAGGGAATAGAGAGTGGGTAGATAACTCTTCCAAGCAGTCTGTGAAGGGGAGGAGAGAGAGGAGAGAGAATCCAAGGAACTCTGTAGAGTTCAGCAAGATTCTTTCCTTTCCTTTAAAAATGTTTCTTTTTTAGGATGGGAGAGACTTGTGGTTCTTGTCCCTGTGTATACATGTCACACTCATCCATCTTATAGGCACAAGAGAATGCAGAGCAAGGAGACTGAAGGTTCTGGAGTTGAGCAGGATGAGTGATGGCCAACTTCCCAGGATGAAAGAAAAGAAAGGGTGGCCTGACGGACAAAAGACATTGTATCTAAGGTTGAAGATACAATGGCAAGCTCATGAGTAGTGAGTCTTAAAGTCTAGGTGTGACCCCTCCCTCTCTTGCTGCTGGTGTGGCTGCTGAAACCTCCTGAGGACCTATGAACTGATCCAGAAATATAGGTCCATTCTTACCAGTCTCTATGAGTGAAAGATGTTAAGTGTTTAACACATATTAAGTGTTTAGTAATTAAGTGTTTAAAATTTATATATTTGACTTGGAGCCACTACCAACCAAAAATAAAGAGTTATTAAAATTTGGTATTCACAAATTAAAATCAATGTGTGCTACGAGATTTATTTTAATTCAGTATTTTATTCAGAAGCCTGGCAGACACCTGGTGCGTGGCAATAATCATAAAGCACGTGCACATAGTTGTAAATTCCACAATTTTGATTCAGGACACTTCATCAGTGTATCATCAGCATTGGCCTGAGTTGGTTATAATATTCAGTTCCTGCTATTCTTGCTTTTTAATTATAAATTACAGTAAGTTTAGTTTTATCGTTATCAGTTTAGCTTATTGTGTGTTATTTGGTTAACCTCACGATGTTTATTGGTACATACTTGGATCAACAATGTTTTGTCTTATAGTGTTCTTATAACTAGACTTTTAAATATGTATGTCTTGTGGTTCGCATGTGAATCATCCATTATTATTTTGCCAAAGTAGATGTGTACCTAACCCCCTTGTCATTTGCTTGTATGGTGACACACTTCATGGTGATATGTTTCCTGGGAATTTTTGCTATTTAAATAACTTACAACATACTGTCAAGGTAGGTGTAAGAAAATTACTGGATTTTTAATTTTTTTGATGTTTTAGGATATAAATTATGTTTATAGTAACATGTTTACTGCAACTTAATTATATTTTTGCTGAATTCTTTGTTACCACCAGGTTCACTACCTGCCCTTTACCCCCGAATGTGGGAACAAGTGAGATAGGTGGAGGTCTTTCACTTTGCTGTGGTGGGCTTTGCTCAGAAAGTTTAAAATCCATCCCTCTAGAGGAGTGGGTAGGTATGTGGAAAGGATGTGCTAAGCAGCTAAGCTAAAGTGGAATAAGGGTAACTCACAGTCATGGCTTCAATGCCAGTGAACTGTGAGCTTGTCACTAATAAGATGTTAGGAGAACAGGTGCTGATGTTGTGTTTTTACTTCTTGTTTAAGGATGTAAATGAAGACCCTGGAGAAGATGTGGCCCTCCTCTCTGTTAGTTTTGAGGACACTGAAGCCACCCAGGTGTACCCCAAGCTGTACTTGTCACCTCGAATTGAGCAGTAAGTGTCATTAACATTAGGTAGCCCGGTGCTACTTCTTGCTAACCAATATGTCTCATTCTTTCTTTTGCCACTCTTGAACTCTTACATTTATTTCTCTTCATTGACTTTTGTTTCCTTAAAAAATTCATCATATTAAGAGCTTCAATTGCAGAGTAAATGCAGCTAGTACTTGCTGCTACACCCTTTTGGCAAGTGTTATTGTGCATTTGGTAACATGAATACTGTACCTTTGTAGAGAGAAAAGAATAGGCAGACTGAGTCCAAAATTGGGACTCCTTCCAGATGTTCCCTGGAGTTCGAATAGTTGTAGCCCACAGTGGGCTGCTAAACATCTTTAAAATATTTAGCAAAAACTAACTCAGAAGTTAGTAAAGCTCATATTAAAAATAGATAGCTTAAAAAGATAACATGTTTTATTTTGCTGCATCGAAGTAACTGTGTATAATTTTACACAACATTCAGGCTACATGGCAGAAGTAGTTTGATATCGCATTTGTGTTCTAACCAAGTAACATTATTCATCAGTAATGAATTTTGTAAGGCCTGGATTCATAGTGTGCGTATTGTGGGTGAAATGCTTTAGTAGCTTATTCTACTTCAAAGGAAGCTGCGGTTCATTGAAAATGGATTATAAGCAGATTTGGTTGGGAACTTCTGACAGGACAGATTTTTCATCAGCAGAGAGAGTTTTTACAGACTCTGATTGAAATGTATTATTAAACTTCTCTGTGAGTCATTTAGTCACAGTTGACTGATTTCTGTCTGTGAGTAGATGTGGTCACTATCTAGCATTCTTAGTAAAAATACTGAGCCATTTTTACACCTTCCCACCTTAGTTGCTCTAATTTATAAATCATGGACACATCATCTTAAAAACCAATATGACACAGCTGTTTATACTCAAATATGGGAGCTTATGAACATCAATAATCTATAGGCATTCTCTTTTTTTAAAATATATCTGACACAGCACCTAGAACAGGATTTTACAGTAGCAGGCACTCAATGAATGTTTAATTTTTGTTTTGAGACAGCGTCTCACTCTGTACCCAGGCTGGAGTGTATTGGCATGCTTATGACCAGCCTCAACCTCCTGGGCTCAAGTGATCCTCCTACCTCAGCCTCCCAAGTGGCTAAGACTCCAGGCGCCACCATGCATGCCTAATTTTTTTTATTTTTATTTTTGTAGAGACCAGGTCTCGCTATATTGCCCAGGCTAGTCTCAAACTCCTGGGTTCAAGTGATTCTCCTGCCTCGGCCTCCCAAAGAATGGTTTTTTTGTTTTGTTTTGTTTGTTTGTTTGTTTTGAGACAGAGCCTCACTCTGTCATCCAGGCTGGAGTGCAGTGGTGCAGTCTCAGCTCACTGCAACCTCCACCTTCTGGATTCAAGTGATTCTTGGATTTCAGCCTCCCGAGTAGCTGGGACTACAGGCACAAGCCACCACGTCCAGCTAATTTTTTGTATTTTCAGTAGAGACAGAGTTTCACCATGTTGGCCAAGCTGGTCTTGAACTCCTGACCTCAGGTGATCCGCCCGCTTCGTCACCCCAAAGTGCTAGGATTACAGGCATGAGCCACAGTGCCTGGCCCCAAAGAGTCTTTTATTATTTTTTTAATTGAAAATACTGACCCATATTAGTAAGCGATCAGTGGATACCAGAGGCAGTAGAATGATGTGGCATAAGGCACGGGCTCTGAGTCAAGCAGATCTGGTTTAAACCTGGTTCCTGCCGCTCACCAGCTGGCACAAAATATAACTTCTCTGAGCTTGTTTCCTCAGTCATAAAATAGACATAATAATACCTATTTCGTAGAGTTGTTTTCAGGATTATATTAATACTGTTTATAAAGCATTAATCACAGGGCCTGGCACTATAGCAAACACTCAGCAAGTAATAGCCATGAATGTTATTATTATTGATATAGTTCATAGGAGAAGAACGAGTGAGTGTTTAGCAGGGATAAGCTGGGGCAGAAAAAGAGAGGATGGGTAAATAAGGGAGCAAGTACCAGTTCTAGCGTAGCCACTCATTGTGTAACTAATGAGTTAAATTACAAAAGTGCTTTGGTGATGAGAAAAGAGTTAATGAAACAATTGCAAGATGTGGGCAATATGAATATATTAGTTAAGTTGCAGGCAATAGTTTGCCAGCTCAGAAAAACATTTGTTCCAGCAGCTAGGTTGTTTTTCTTGGAAGTTACTACACCTAATTTGCAAATAAACTTGCTAATAAAGTATTCTCACTCTAAAAATCTAACATGTGTGGGAAATGATTAGGGAAAGGTATATTTTAAAAGTCATTTTTCCTGTCTCCAAAGTCCAGCTTTCTCATGTCCTTCCTCCTTTTTTTTTTTTCCTTCTTCTTTTTTATGTTAAGAACTCTCCACAGCATACCCTTTTAGATCATTTTTCGGTTACTTCCCCTCATATACTGTGTCCTTCAGCCAGACCTGAGCACTTGAAGTTTTCTTACGTTGCCAGCACTCTCTTGCCTCTGTACCTTTGCTAAAGCTGCTCCTTCCATGTCCAAGGCCCTTCTCTAACCCCCTCTTCCTGTTGAAATACTATACCCTTTCTAAGGCCTTATTCAAATGCCATCTCTGCCAGCCATTTCCCCTGAGGACAATTAGTCTAGCCTTCCCCAGAGCTCTTTGTAACACTGAATTTATATTAATCTTATAATCTATATTTATATTATAATCTACCCATCATAGCTTTAATTGGTGATACAGATTATTTAAAATCTTTTGCTGAATTGCAAGCTACAGGACAAGTCTTTTCTTTAATGCCTTGCATAAATGCAATACACAGTTATCAGTTGCCTAATTGGCAGTCTTCTAGGTGAATAAGTAGTTCTCACCAAAATATTGGAAAATGCCTCACTGAAAGGTCTTATACTTTTTTCCTGCTTGATACAAATTCACTTGGTAGAACTACGTTTATAATACCAAAACAAACTACCAAACATTCTTATATCTTTTTTTTTTTTTTTTTTTTTTTTGAGACGGAGTCTCGCTCTGTCACCCAGGCTGGAGTGCAGTGGCGCGATCTCAGCTCACTGCAAGCTCCACCTCCCGGGTTCACGCCATTCTCCTGCATCAGCCTTCCGAGCAGCTGGGACTACAGGCACCTGCCACCATGCCCGGCTAATTTTTTGTATTTTTAGTAGAGACGGAGTTTCACCATGTTAGCCAGGATGGTCTCTATCTTCTGACCTCGTGATCCGCCCGCCTTGGCCTCCCAAAGTGCTGGGATTATAGGCGTGAGCCACCGCGCCCGGCCACATTCTTATATCTTTAAGTAGAAGTTTTCAAAACGAGGTTTTAGAGAAAGATTAACATAAAAGAAATAAACTTGGTGTTTGACTTCTATAAGGGCTTAGATATTTGCTAAAGTTATTAATACTTCTGATTAATTCTTCCAGAGTTCAGAGCATAGAACAGACATAATGCCATTTCAAGAGGGCCATAGTCATGGGATAGGTTTTGAGAACTGACTGTGCTAAGCTCTCATTTGTGTTCTGTGTTTTATACTATCTTGTCAACTCTTAGCTATCCAAGCATTGATTATAGACTCAGACTTGGAGAGTTCTTTCAAGAGTCATAGGAAAAGCATCCCATGTGGACCTGCCCAAAGCTGATGTCAAACTCTTGCCCCAGCTGAGGCTTGTACTCCTTTTGGCTTCTGCTATGGCTCTTTCTAGGAAGTCCCAAGCCCCATGCAGTACATTCGACAGGGAGAGGCTCAGGGGAGACCAATAGTCCCATCCACACTGGGTAAAAATTACCAAGAGAAGGCTTGCATTCCCACCATCTCCTCCATGGGCATAGAGAAATATCGTGGACCTGGGGGGAACCCCATTCCAGTCTGACTGTTCCTCTGTCCCAGCTTGTCCATGCAGTAGGCAAAGATATTATACTCACGTTAACTACTCCCAGCAATTGGAAAAGAAAAAGACTACTTTTGGGTCTTGTCATCATATGTAGGAAAAAATATTGATTTGTTGTACCCTAAAAAGACTACAAATTAGACAAACCTGACAAAAGGGAACATCTGTTAGATTCGTTGGTAGAAGACTCCGAAATGTATTCTAATTTGATGAAGCTCTGAAATGTGATCCCACTTCTGAATCTGTTTGCCCAGGGTCCTGGAATAGTTGTTTGGCGTCTCTGGCAGCCCTGCCGCACATGGCTGCATGCCCTTAACGATGCTTAGATGCATATTGTTTACCGGTCTCCCACTGCGCATTTCTATGGCTTGCAGAGTAAATGCTTCTGAGAAGAACTTTGTGTTCTTGCACAAGGGACATTTATGAAATAAACATACTTCTGGCTCTATACATTTGTTTTCCAAGGAACCAAAACCAATCAGTTGAATTAGACATGAGTAAGTTCTGTTAATTTAAAAAAGAAAAAAGTCAGTGGTGAGCTATGTTAAAAAAAAAAAAAAAAAAAAGCTAGTAGTCAGTGATGCAAATTAGATTTTAGTTGAATATTAGAAAAGGGGAAAAAACAGTTTCTCAACCAGTTGCTTTTTTCTCCCCTGGCAGAAAAACTGTGAGTTTTAAGGTTACATCATCAGAGCTGGCGCGAAACACGCTCTACCTATCCCTCTTCCCCAGACTGTTGGCAGTTGTAGTAGTGAAACCAAAGGTGAAATGGGCATAAGAATCTGCATAGCACTCTTCCCCAAAAGGTATGGGCCCTTTTCTTGGCTTCAGCCACTTTGTGGGAGTGGTTTAAAGACAACCAGCTTCCTCATTCCCTGTGCTGTTCCCACTCGGTGCATAAAAAGAGGACTTCAGCCCTGAGGCAGACCAGGTGGCATCTTTCACAAGTACAGAATTTGTTTTTAGAACTTTTTGTTAAGTTACATCTGCCTTGGAAATGAGTACTCAAAACTTCCCAGCCCACAAACGCTCACTGTTATTGAGGCCGGTGTACCTGCAATATGCATGTTTGTTCTTTCAGGCAACAGAAACCCAATGAGAATCGA